GGGTCAAAAAGGATCTTGCTGTGATTTATGTCATAGAGTGTTCTACCTACGTTTTCCTCTAAGAGTTTTATAGTGTCTGGCCTTACATTTAGGTCTTTAATCCACTTTGAGTTTATTTTTGTGTATGGTGTTAGGGAGTGTTCTAATTTCATTCTTTTACATGTAGCTGTCCAGTTTTCCCAGCACCACTTATCGAAGAGGCTGTCTTTTCTCCACTGTATATTCTTGCCTCCTTTACCAAAAATAAGGTGACCATAGGTGCGTGGGTTAATCTCTGGGCTTTCTATCCTGTTCCATTGACCTATATTTCTGTTTTTGTGCCAGTACTGTACTGTCTTGATTACTGTAGCTTTGTAGTATAGTCTGAAGTCCAGGAGCCTGACTCCTCCAGCTCCATTTTTCTTTTGCAAGACTGCTTTGGCTATTCGGGGTCTTTTGTGTTTCCATACAAATTGTGAAATTTTTCGTTATAGTTCTGTGAAAAATGCCAGTGGTAGTTTGAATAGGGATTGCATTGAATCTACAGATTGCTTTGGGCAGTAGAGTCATTTTCACAATGTTGATTCTTCCAATCCAAGAACATGGTATATCTCTCCATCTGTTTGTAGCATCTTTAATTTCTTTCGTCAGTGTCTTATAGTTTTCTGCATACAGATCTTTTGTCTCCTTAGGTAGGTTTATTCCTAGGTATTTTATTCTTTTTGTTGCAGTGGTAAATGGGGGTGTTTCCTTAATTTCTCTTTTGGATTTTTCATTATTAGTGTATAGGAATGCAAGAGATTTCTATGCATTAATTTTGTCTCCTGCTACTTTAGCAAATTCATTGATTAGCTCTAGTAGTTTTCTGGTAGCATCTTTACCATTCTCTACATATAGTATCGTGTCATCTGCAAACAGTGACAGTTTTACTTCTCTTCCGATTTGGATTCCTTTTATTTCTTGTTCTTCTCTGATTGCTGTGGCTAAAGCTTCCAGAACTATGTTGAATAACAGTGGTGAGAGTGGTATGCCACATCTTCTTTAACCATTCATCGGTGGATGCTGAGGTTGTTTCCATATCTTGGTTATTGTAAATAATGCTACTATGAACACAGGAATACATACATCTTCTTGATTTAGTGTTTTCATTTTCTTCAGATAAATACCCAAAGGTGTAATAGCTGGATCATATGGTAGTTCTATTTTTAGTTTTTTGAGGAACTGCCATACTGTTTTCCATAGTGACTGCACCAACTTACATTCCCACAAACATGAGGTTTGCATGAGGGTTCCCTTTTCTCCACACCCTCCCCATCACTTATTTCTTGTCTTTTTGGTAACAGTCATTCTGACAGGTGTGGGGTGATATCTCATTGTGGTTTTGATTTGCATTTCCCTGATGATGTGATGTGGAGCATTTTTTCATGCGCCCATCGGCCATCTGTATGCCTTCTTTGGAAAAACGTTTATTCAAGTCCTCTGCCTATTTTTAATTGGCTTGTTTGCTTTCTTGATATGGAGTTATATGAGTTTCCTAAGTATAATTTGGATATCAACCCCTTATCAAATATATTGTTTGAAAATATCTTCTCCCATTCAGTAGGTGAATTTTGTTGGTTTCCTTCCCTCTGCAAAAGCTTCTGAACTATTTCAACAAAAATTTAGAGGAACCGTTGTGTTTGAAATGTTTGGGACCACAAATGTTGATCGGGTGTTTCATCTTATGGATGAAGAAGTCACTGCCCGAAGACGGTAAAAAAGTTCCCCAGGTCATTGGCGGAAAACCCAAGCCTGGAGCCCACATCTTCTGACTTAGTCTTGTTCTCAACATCTGTTCCCTACAGCCCCAGCGCCCCATCAGCCCAGAATCCTGGCCCCAGCAAATGCAATGATTCATTCACTCCGCCTTTCATTCAGCACATGTGTAATGAGCTCTCTGGTATGCAGGCAACTCCATCTTATAACAGGAAGCAAGAAGAGTAGGAAGAACTTTCTGGAAATTAACTTCATAGGATCTGGAATATTCTCAGACCACTCAGTGGAAAGCATACAATCTCCTCCCACCCCAAATTCTTTCCCGTACTAATCGCACTGGCTGCCCTCATTTCCTTGGTTGCTTCCCACTCTGTTCCACACCCAAGGACAATATCAACGACCTGGGAAGGGCACAGAATGCCAATGAGGTCAGAAAAACATGGCAAAGGCGCCCTCTGAACATAAGGAGGCCTTCAGGGCGGGAAATATCCAAGTTCGCTGCTGTTTGGAACACTGAGAAGCGGGGAGAGAGGTTCATCCAAACACAGATGTTCTGTGGGAAGGAGGCATTTTCAGTGTGGAGAGATCGGCATGATGGTAGAGGGCAAATTAAACAGGCCCTTGGATGACACAGCGGCAGACTCAAAGGCAGGCAATTTCGGGCTGTGTACTCAAGGGAGCCTCTGAGTGGTGGCTGCTCCCTATAGAGAGGAGACGAGACAGGCCCTGGAATACAGCCATCACTTTTTCTGACTGAGAGCATGTTGACAGGTCACGGGAAGCTGAACAACAAACCAAATGATTAAGGGGCCCAAAGGGGTGATTGATGAAGGTAAGTACCACTACTAATAACAATCCACTGCTTTCAGGTTGCTTTTCCCTCCGCTAGTTCTTGCAGCACATTAAAAACATGTATTAGAACCTTCTCCCTTTAAGTAAAAATAGAGGCATAGGTGGGTGAAAAGCGAAAAATAAAACAAAACAAACCCCGACTGTGACCAATTCTATCCTTCTCCTCTAATATCTAACCCAGACCCTCCTCTAAATGGTTAGCACGGTATCTCATGTAAGTAGAAAGATAAGGGACATTAAAATCACCTTCCAGAGGAAGAAAAATAAAAAGACAACAATGCTTAAACAGTGTAACTCACATCTACACACACACACCGTCCCCTAGAAGGAGCAAGCACCTGCCAGTATTTAGTAGAGTCATGAATGAAGAATTTAAGGTTGCCTCAGACCAAAAATGGCATGAGACAAATAATGAATCCTTCTGTCTTTCTAAGGCTTGATTTACCTCTCTTTGAAAGAAGGCAATCCATCATGTTTCGTGACTTCCCTGCATCCCTCACCATCCACCATGCACATCCCCACACTTACCTTGTAGTTAAATGAAACAGTTCACATCAAGCATGACGAAGTCCCCTGAAGGAGCCACACTGGACAGTGCTGCTACTTCACATCAAGCATTTGCGCTCTTCGCTGTGTGACCTTGGGCACCTAACCTCTCTGGGTATTACTCTTCTCTTTTGCGAGATAAGGGTACTGGGTTAGATTGTATCTGAGAACCTTGCTAGCTCTAAATGTGATTCAAGTTAACACAAAGCTCACAGCCCTTGTAGGAAGGAAGGGGATGTTGAAGAAGGAAGGGGAGAAGGTATAAGAAAAAGGAATTGAGGGTGTTTGGCCAGGCCAGGCTGATCCCAGAAGCAGAGGTAGGGAATGGGAGGGAGAAAGGATGCACACAGATGGGGGAGGATTCTCAACTGGAAAATAAATTATTAAGAGTTCTGCATAGAAAGGAGGAGGGAGTTACAT